CCGTGAATTGAGGATGTTGATTCTTGTGGGTTATGTATAATTCCGAGAATTCATCGATTTTTGTCAGCCATGTATAGTTCTCGGTTTATTGATCGACTTTACTGCCTTTTCTACCAGAGCTGTTTGTGAGAAATGGCTCCGTTTTCATGTGAAATATTATTGTTATTCATGAAATTTCAAAAACTTTTTGCTCCTTCCGAGGAAATTGCCATATTCCATATTCTCGCTTTTCTCCAGTGCATGGGAGGTTTTGTGGCAGATGGAAATTTGACTTTGATGATGATAGAAGTGTTTAGTTTTGTCCAGTTAGTGGTCAGTAGAAAATTTAGATTGCAGGAGAGGAAAAGTTCCGGAAAACCACTTGCAAATTAGGCAAAAATTCGTGGGTCGCTCGTTTCATCTTTCCGTAATTTTCTTGACATGTCCACCAAAATAGTAAGACAAAAGAATGAAAGGAAACACAAGATGATAACTTGAAATGAATCCGATCTGGAGCTCGAGCTTATGGTACTGATAGTCAAACAGAATTCTTTCATGAGGTGACTGTTTAGGGATAGTTTCGATTCGTCTTTTGCTTTAACCGATGAGGGAAGCGCATTTTGGAAAGGTTCTTAAATAATCAATTTAGGCGCTTCTGTCAGTTATATGAAGGCGCTTCGCACCAATTAAAAAAACTGTTGAACAGAATTGAGAAACAAAAAGAAATCAAATCCTATGTGGCAAAGGTCATTGAATATTATGAGGTAAAGGGTAAAGAAGTGATATGCAAAGTGGTAGAAATATCAATTCTAGTCTATTAATAGTTTTCTGATTTGCTTAAAGATTTTTTTCTGTTTTCCTTTGTAAATTTAATTACATTGTTACTTTTACTGAAATATTGAAGTATTGATGTGATTAGTAAGGGAACTATTAGCAGCGCATTGAATTACTTCATTCATTTAGATCGCGTAATCGAGCGTTTAAAAAAAAAAAAAAAGAAAAAAGAAAATGTGAGAGGGAAAGACAACGAGGAAAATAGAAATAGTGGAAATCTCAGATTATTTTTGGAAGGATTTCAATTTCTGGCCTTTACAGATCTCCGCAATAATGTTTGTGACATGTGAAGCGATAAAAGCGATAAAGGCAATCGCTCGTCATCTGCGCTTTTGAGAGATCTGAGAGAATTTAATCTACGGTTTTACGTGAAAAAATGTTCTCCAGCTCGTTGCATACATATTGACGATTTTGTTTGAAATCATGAGTAATGATTATTTATGAAATGTTTCAGCAATGGCCGCAATCGCATCTGCAGTGCAAAATTCAAATTCAAGTGCTTATTCAAATGGTGAAAGGTTAGTATTTCCTCAGATGTTTACTCCTGTAAATTTGACTTTTCAACATAGTAAAATTAATCATCTGCTCTTGAAAGCGTGATTAAATGCTAAGAAAATGAACACTGATTAGATAAAACACTTTGCATCCTGTGATAATTAGCAATTATAAATTCAGAAGTGAATCTAGCTCAGACTGGAATAATTTCAAGTATAGATTGGGAAACAGTTGATATGCTTCGGAAGAAGAAAAAGCAACGAATTATTAATAATTCTTGTTTTATATCAGTTTTGATTCTCGTCAATGACCTTTTTTATCATCACTTAGATTTTTTTCGATTTCTTTTTTTTTTTTTTCTAGAAGAACGTTCAATGAATCGAAAAAGGAGGATATGTCCGATGACGACGATATTCCATTGTCGCGGAAAGCACGAATGATTGTCGATGACGACGATATACCCCTTGCTAAGAAATTGAAAACCATGAAAAATACACATAGTGATGATGATGATGATGTGCCGCTGTCACAAAAGGCTAAAGTTGTTATTTTTCTATTTCTTATTTTCCATTTCTTTTATATAGTCAAATACTTCCCTTGTAGTACATTCTTTTTGTGATGGAAGCCATTAAGCATTATTCCTTATAACTTTTTTTTGCTGGTCTGCTGTCTTTTTTGAGGATGCTTCTGAGCTTTTGATACTGCTGAACGAAAAAGTATATGGAGAAGTATGCTTCGTATCGTGATAGTTGCCAATTTCCAGCCACAGAAAGGGCTATCCGAGGAGGCGGTGGCTGATGCATCGAGCAGTCGAGTGAAAAAGTCACCGTTGCTGTCATCCACTCCTTCATCGGCAAGAAAAGTGATTAAAGCAGAATTGGAAAGCGATGATGATGTACCATTGAGCGTGCGAGCTGCCACATTGACCAAGAAAAGGAAAAAAGTGAATCAGACGATGAAGATTATAAACTGGAGGTTAGCTGTAGTCTAAAATTTTTCTTGTACTCATATACATTTTGAACTTAAATACTATGAATTTATTCAATGTTGTTTAATTTGTTCAGTTAATTACAGAAGAAAAAAGTGAAACGGAAAAATTCAAATGAAAGGAAAAAACTTCAACATCGAATTCTGAGCAAATTCATATAAAAAATGAAAAAACCAACGGCATTACATCAAATAAGCGGAAAAGACGCGAGGAAGAAGAGGAGGAAGTTTGGAAATGGTTCTTTTCTTACCATTTGAATTAAGATGCCTTAGATTCATTATGAATGTTGCAATTTTGTGAATGATAAAATAGTTCCGCTGTTCGAAACTGGCCTGCAACATTATTTTTTTCCCAGGTGGGAAGAAGAAAAGAAGCCGAGTGGCATCAAATGGTATAGTCTGTCCCACAAAGGGCCCATTTTTGCCCCGCCATACGTACCACTTCCTGAATCTGTTCACTTCAAATACGATGGGAAGGTATGTGATGGTCGCTTGCTGCTTGTTTTTAAATAGTGGTTTCAAGTTAAAATTCTGCTGTATACGTGACTTATTGCAGGTGATGAAATTGACACCACTGACAGAGGAAGTTGCGTCTTTCTACGCAAAGATATTGGAACATGAATATACAACAAAGGAAACTTTCAATAAAAATTTCTTTATGGACTGGAGGAAGGTTTGCACTTTAGTTGTTTAATGCAGTGTATAAAGCTGGCAGATATTTCTTCACATTTTGAATCTTTTAAAGTATGTTACCACTTATTTCAGGTGATGACTCCCGCAGAGCGCGAAAAGATCACCGATTTAACGAAATGTGATTTCCGGGAAATGCATGCTCATTATGTTCAGCTGAGAGAAGAGCGAAGGTCCTTGAGTAAGGAAGATAAACAAAAAATTAAAGAGGTTTGGTTTTAAAAAAAATAGAAGAAATGATTCCCTAGTCAGAGAGGTTACAGCACTATTTTTGTTTTGAGGCTAAACAAGAGGAAGCTAAAATGTATGGTGTCGCATATATTGATGGACATAAACAAAAAATAGGAAACTTTCGAATTGAACCACCGGACTTGTTTCGAGGACGTGGTGGTCATCCTAAAATGGGTCGTTTAAAGAGACGAATTAATCCCGAAGATGTGATTATTAACTGTTCAAAGTAACTTTTTTGAATTCCATGAAATTCATCGGTGTTTTGGTGTAAATCTTTTTTCTCTTCACTTTTTACCATGTGCAACCGGTCAGCTCACTGCTTTATACATTATGGTTTATTTATTGTGACTGGAAATATAAACTTTAATGTTATTAGGTTTCGAAGCATAGTAACTCTATTTTATGTTTTTTTTAGATACATTTTATGAACCTTATTAACTCTGTGTTATAATCTTATGTAAGGTGTAAGAAATATTTTTAAAAATGTTACCATTTATGGCTGACCTTCAACTCACAGTATTGCAGTGTTTGGATATCGATTATGTTATAGGGATTCAGAAATACCAAAACCACCTGAAGGCCATCGCTGGAAAGAAGTGCGTCATGATAATACAGTGACATGGCTGTGTTCATGGACCGATAATATTTTAGGTTCCATCAAATACATTATGCTTAATCCATCGTCGAAAATCAAGGTAATATTTGGTGATCTTGTCGAAAATTCTATTAGAACTTTGTAACACACTTTTACCACTGAACAAAAGAAGATAATGGTAATTAATTCTTTAGGGATAACAAAACTTATTTTTCGTGAAAATTGCGGGACACTTCATGGCGAACCAATATTCAATTTTCAGGGTGAAAAAGATTACGAAAAATTTGAAACTGCAAGACGATTAAAAGATGTTGTTGAAAATATCCGGGAAAATTATACGAAAGATTTGAAAAGTAAGGAGATGCGCGTGCGACAACGAGCAGTGGCACTTTATTTTATTGATAAGGCAAGTAATTCTTTCAATATTCCATATTCAGTACGGTTTCTTTTTCTGCTTGTAAAAACAAATTTTAGTTAGCACTTCGTGCTGGTAATGAAAAAGATGTTGATGAAGCAGCAGACACCGTTGGTTGTTGTTCACTGCGATGCGAACACATTCAGCTTCATGAAAAGTTGGACGACAATGAGTAGGTTATCTTGTCAACCATCTATCTTCCTCATAGTGTTAAAAAAGAAGAGGTGCAAAGATTGTGAATATCTGAATATAACTTACCAACAGGCTTACTGTACTTATAAAGTTTTAGTATATTCCCGTTAATAAAAATCTCTAGAAGGTTGGATGGTTATTTGCAGTTATGTGGTTGAATTTGACTTTCTTGGTAAAGACAGTATCCGGTATTACAACAAAGTTCCGGTAGAGAAGCGAGTTTTTAAAAATTTGAAACTTTTTATGGAAAATAAAAGCGGTAACGATGATCTCTTCGATCGTCTTGATGTAAGTTTCCTCGAAAATATTCATTTTATCCGTGCCGAGGTAGCTACAATGACATGATTTCTTTTTTCTTCGTTTAACCCATTTAATCCCAGATTTTGTTATCGATTATTGTGGAGAGATCAAGCATTTATCATTCCAGATTGATAATGCATACAATTATTTATGAAAATTTTGGAAAAACTTTTATTATTTCACCAGTTATTACTTCAGTCAAGCTGGCCCTTGATTTACCGCTATTTGATGTAATTAATGGTGCATTTGCCAATCACTATTAAGAACTTCTAAAACTTACTTTAACTGACTGTCAGTTTCCCTAAATAGTAAAAGAGTAATAATTAATAATAATTCATTTCAACTTCATCTTTCTGATTTTTATACTCCATCAAACTTGTGTTACAGACTGCATCGCTGAATAAATATTTACAAAGCTTGATGCCAGGTTTGACCGCCAAAGTTTTTCGTACATATAATGCATCGATTACTCTACAACAACAACTGGAGAAATTGACCAAAGGTCAGTCATTTTTCAAAGTGAACATCACTCATAAATAATGATGTAGAGAATTGTTTTTGCAAATAAATCTGATTTTGTTTCCCTCTCTTGGTGCTTTCTCGACTCCAGGTGACCTTTTTTCTTAATGGTATGGATATGCGGAGGTGACTTAATGGATCTCAAAAGGATTACATCACCTCGCGTTTACTTAGATTACATCACCTCGCGTTTACTTAATAAGTTTTTGTAGACGATTCTACAGTACCTGAGCTACTACTCTGTTACAATAGAGCGAATCGTCAGGTTGCAATTTTATGTAATCACCAACGTGCTGTGCCAAAAAGTCATGAAAAAAGTATGGAAAATTTGAAAGTGAAAATAAAGACGAAGAAAGCAGAACTGAAAGAAGCTAAGGTTAAATTTCACATGGTTTTCATTTTGAATTCGATCACAGAATCTATTTTGCACTTATGGATTTTTTTCCTTTAATATGTTGAGTATTCATTTTTAGGAAGAACTAGAAAAAGCACGTGGTGATGTAGCCAAACAACGTGCATCCAAGCGTGTTGATCGAATCAAAGAACAATTGAGGAAATTAAAAATTCAGCGAACGGATAAGGTAAATTCTCGGGGAAGGATCTAAGGTTGTAACATTAAACAGAGATGAAGGCTGGATTTGTGATGGATAACTGGGATATCAGAACATAACTAGAACCGTTGTAATTTTAGGATGAAAATAAGCAAATTGCTCTGTCTACATCAAAATTGAATTATTTGGATCCGCGGATATCAGTTGCTTGGTGTAAAAAGTATGAAGTACCAATTGAAAAAATTTTCAACAAAACGCAACGTGAAAAATTCCGTTGGGCAATTGACATGGCCGACGAAGATTATGTTTTCTAATTCCACTTCATTCCGTTTTTGTTGTTGCAGCTTTATTATTTTTGTCTAAATTCGTTGAAAATTAGAAATCGTTCTAGAATAAATCTGATCTCAGAAAAACGTTTTAATGCAGTTTACATATTCTATTGTCGCTTGTTGACTTCCTGAAATCCATAGAATTTTCAACGCAGAAAAAGGCGTCCATAAGGTATTTGCTATAGCCTTTTCATGGAAATGATTTTGCATATGATATGGATATTTTTCTAATTTTCATTCCTGTTTTTCGAGAAATTATTTTTCGTTTATGTCATTAATTGGAATTAATTGAATTCGTTCTAATTCTAATTTTAGTTAATGTTATTTAACCTATATAATTTTGGTGTATGAATTGTCTTGCAAGAGATTACTGTTAAAAAAATGTTAAATAGAACATGATCTGATAATTTCTTAGGAAGAAATAGGAACTCGGCGTCATTACTTGCTAGGAGCTAGCAAAAATCTTTTTTCTTTTTTCCATAAAGGGCCTCTTTGATTCTTATTGATTCCAGGTTTTAAATGAAAGTTTCAGGTTTTCGGCTTGAATTCGGCGTAACATTTCTTTTTGGATAGGGTTTTTTGTTTGTTTTTATGGTATAGTATTTGAATAGTATTTGAAGAAAGATTCAGAAGATGTTGTGATTATTAATGTGCATTTAAATTATGCTATCAGTGAGTCGATCGCGATAAATCCAAAATTTTTTGGATTTGAATCTTTTCCACTGAAATTCCTGGGAATTTATGAGAAATTTTTAGTGCCAATATAAAATTAAGGAAAGTCATGGAGAATACGCGATGGAATTCATTTGAGCTTTCAAAAATTCTTTGATGTTTTTTGTTTTGTTTCCTTATCTACCAATGTTTTATAGAACAGAAGGAAGGAAATCCTAAATTTTAGTTTTTAATATCTTTGAACTTTTGTTTTTCGTTTTCTCTCAAGTTTACCTGTGGTGTGTTTCTATTGTGATGGTTTGCACGCCAAAGTGCTTAATTGGAATTATTTTTATTATTGTATATCTGTTTAATGGACTTTTAGTTCCATTGTCTGCATTGTATTCAGCTGGATTACTAAACTTCCATCTTTAATATCTTCAGTAAGACTGCCGTATTTCTTTTTCTTTTCCAGCTAGCAGGTTAATAGTCTTTCGAATTTGAATTAAACTTTTTATCTGTAGCTCCTATTATTCTTGCAGTGAAATATTTGTTTGCTATTGTTTACCAGTAAATTTACCATTTCCATCGATTTCTACGTCTATTTAAGGGATTTTTTAATTTTGTATCTTTGGACATACTGTTGTATTCTTTCTTTTTATATTTTGTAGTTTATTTCACTATCTCACATTGATATCAATAAATTTTCAGGTAAAACAATATTATTGTTCTTTGTTCAGTTCTCCTCTTTGAACTTTCTTTCATCCCCGAAATTTACTTTATGTCTAGGAAAGGAAGAATGTGGTGAATTTATGTGTCTCAGCAGTAACTCTAGAATGCTAAGTACTTCCGTGGCTGTCGTGGAATTCGATGGGTGTGAAAGTTTTGGCAATAGGAAAGTTGAACATATGAAGGATTATCCAAAGAACAGGTCTTGAATGTTGGCGAAGAAATGAGCCAAGGGGTCATCGGAAATCCCAAGCATCAAATTGATGTGGCCTGGAGTGATCTATGAAGGGAAACGGGATTATATATAATTCACCTATTGATTCAGTTAACATTTTCGAATGATAACTGAAATAATTGCTTTCGTGACAATTTATGTGTTAGTTAATAGCAGAATATCAGTATCTGTTCATTTCATAATCATTAGGGGAACTAAAAATCAATGCTGGAAAGTATTGTGATGATGGTCACACATAGCAAGTAATAATTTGGTACAGTGATAAGAGCGAATTGTCGAATTGGATCCAGGACACGATCTTCATGATCAGTATTTCGCATGTCAATACCGGATAACGGTAGAGTACCTCGACGAAGAAAATATGGAAGTTTGGTAAGAGTTGTAGGTACGACAGATTCATTATTTGTTGATATCAGAAAATCCGAAGCTTCTTCAGTACCATTGATATATTTATTCCTCTTCCTTTCATCAAATTTCTTCGACACGTTGTAATCATCATATTCACATTGCCAATGAAAGCACAGATGATGTGGTGGATTCTGCTCGACGCAGTATTTTATCATTTTACTACAATTATCGATAAATTTAATTGACGAGAGAGTAATTAGCCGAAAAGTGATCAGGAAATCAATTGTGTAATCTTGGGATATGCAATGATTAATGTTCTCGCGATCTTCACCGAAGATTTTTCAATTATTTTTTCTCAGTTTTACAAAATTTATAACTGATAACAAAGCAATACTCGAAAGAAAGTTTACTTGAAACAATGAATGTCAGTGAAATTAGAAGCGTTGTTATAAACGCAACCATATAAGAATAAATGTTGAATTTCTTGCAATTGTACCATTTCTTTCTGGAAAGAAATATTATTGCATATTTGATTTTTGATAAGAAGAGAATTGAAAAACTCCCAAAGTGTCAATTAATGAGGAGTTAAATTATTTCAAAATCAAACATAAATAATGAATTCCTAAGATAATTGAAATTGAAGTCGTCACTCCGATTGGATCGAGAATTTCGATTAATAGTCCTGCATAGATTTTACATGAAACAATAATGCTTTCGTTTCCGCCATTTCTTGATAATTTATTTAAATTTTAAATTTAATTTAATTATATGATTTAATTCACTTGAATGCAGAATACCATGTTGGGATAATTCATGTTGTCTTTGCTGATGCAACGTTGAAGGATAAGGCTTCTATTAAAAGAGGTAGAATCTGCTCTTTCATTCATCTAAAATTTTGAAATTTCATTGCAAATTTTATGCATTGTACTTTTTCTACGTCATTTCATTTTACTCGCAATGCACGTATTAACATGCATTGATCAAGTAAGTATCTAAAAACTTTCAATTAATTATAGCCAGGTCAAATTTATGCCAAATAATTGCACTCTAAATTACATCAGTATATCGTTTCTATGATTATTTCGCATTTTCTATAAGGTATTATAATATTCTGGCTGACTGATGTATCTTTAGTAAAATAATTATGATTTGCTTATTTGACATTGACATTAAATCATTTTAAAATATATTTGGTGAAAATCCAAGCTGCATAAGGTATTTAAGATAAAAATAGTGATAGTTTGATAAGGTAGTGATAAAGTGATAATTTGAGGGTTTAATAAAGCATGAGGATAAATGTTAAAAAAAAGAATTTAACGAGGACAAGGAAGAAGTGAAAGAGAAAGGAGAGAGAATATGTGTCTCCTAAATAAGTCTTAAATAATGCATTAATCTAAGCGTTTATAAAGATAACAGGCTTGGCTGTTTTCGATTAGACAAGTCAGATAGTGTAAGCTTGGCATCCAAAACTTCTGGAAAGTAAACTGTCCTTTAAACAATTGAGGATAACCGTACAATTTAAGCAATTCGATATCACTATATATATATATATATATATATATATATATATATATATATATATAT